CTTGGTTTTCAGCTCTGTGTTAGGCACGGAAAGCAACTCTTCCTGGCAGGCAGCAACATGACAGGCGTAACCCTTGACCCAGCAGCCGATGAATACAATGCTAGATAGCTGCAGTAGGTAGTATAACTGACGCGTGAACCCAGTGGTGACGGTGATTTTTTTCACATTAAAAGCAACATCTTGGGGTGCATGCATGTCATTGAGCGCGCGACTGGACCATGCTTGACAATTTCTCTGGTTAGATGCATACCGTCTCGGTGTCCATATCCAGGGAGACGGCAGTGACCATCATACCCTTCAAATTTTGCTGTTAGGTAATTGTTTGACCTCCCTCGGTTCACCTCCACCATCTGTGTGGTTTTGCCACAAGGCCTCTCGGGGGGAAGTTCGTCGACTGACAAACGGACAAGTGACCAGGTTAGTGTGATCTATTGAGTGTGGTCAGCTCATCTATCGTGATCGAGTTATTTCTTCCAAAAACCATTTGACATATTTCATCATCACTCATCCAATGTTCCCACCAGGTTTGGATAGTGCCTGGGAGACGCAGATGGCCAAACACGATGAGCAAACTTAGATAATATCGCACACTCTGAAGGTGAAAATTAAGTAGCTGACTGGGGTAGCGGTGGGTGGCTACCTGTCTACCGTTGTTTGTAAGAGTTGGAACCACTGTGTCTGATTTCTAGTTGAAAATCTCTTCCGATGTGAGCCAGCGTCAAGTGAATAGTAACGTCCCAGTCATGCTTTCCGCAAGTTTCCAACCGATTCCCTGTTAGTTATGCTGTTTTCTTTAATTCACAGCAAAAGACTCCTCTCTGCATGGTTCGGCATAGATTATGAGCGAATACATTCGGAGCCCTTTAATCCGTACAATGCATGCGAAACTGCAACACCAACAAGTGCATTCAGATAGCACCCATGATGAGGTAGGTCAGATGTTTATTTGGCATCCAGTTCAGCATCACCCAACCTAGTGGTATCTGATCAGGCCCGAGTACCTGAAACCGGAGCTTTTGCAAAAGTTTGTACCATCGGAACAAGATACTGAAACAAAAGAGTTTCTATCGCGTTGTTTTGAAAAATCAGACTGGTTTTTCACACATTTATACCATGCCATCGCCAAGGCACTGTTGACGTGGTTCATGACATCAACTTCCATTAATGGGTGAGTGTTTTTGTAATGTAGCAGTTCCGCTGGGTAACCTGACACTGGTCGACTATGTCATAACAGATCGCTTTTTGGCAACTTTTGAAGTATGGCTGTTTTGGAACTATTCCTCAGTGGATTTTTTTCACCGATGACAGCTTCTGAGAAGCTGTACGAAGGTCATTGTCTTGTTCAGTTTCACGTCCATTCCGTGATTTGCATGGCAGGCCTATTCATAGATACTCGTAATTTGAGACTAGCACGGTAACGCCGGGGCAACAGAAAAGGTTTACAGGCTACCGTTGACGGAGTGATCTTTTCCCGAGGAACGTACCACCTCGCGACTGACAAAATATTGTTTTGAGCTCCTTTAGGAAATGATTTCCCTGGGGCGAGATTGCTCAGTGGTTAGAGCGCGAATTTACTAACACAAAGGTCCTTGATTTGAACCCGACCTCTGCCTCTCAACTTCCCCTGTTTAGGCTTGGGCGATCTCGGAGTATCCCAGCCCTCGTGCTTATTTGAGGTGACTTGGGAGTTAGGCACTGAAAGAGTGCTACAGCTAAACGATTTTTTTACGGATTCCCTTTATGGTGGTAATCTAAATAGTTATGGGTTTATGTCTCGCCTAATATGGATAACCATCCATTTCAAGGGCGAAAGCTCCTAATGGGGAGCAGTTAGAATAGCCAGGCCCTACCATATGCTGTCTCGCTTATTCCCTCTATCGTATTGAGGTAACATGTTAGTCCTGTCCGCATATTGGAGTTCCTAGATCTTTTGAAGCCAAGTTCGATCCAGTATTCATTCCTGCGATGTTTTACGAAGTCGTGAGAGAGAAAAACGGTGGCTGCTGGTCGCATTCAACACTGCACACGCTCCTCATACGTTTAGATATTGGGTGCTCAGTTGTTTACTTCATTTGATAACTATTTCAGTGAAGTAGCAGGCATATCTTCAGTCCAGTACCCATCCACTTAATATAGTTCTAACAGAAGGTGAACCTTTGAGGGACTGATTACCCAATCCATGGTGATTTCCTGTGTGCGCCTAGTGAGACTTCAGTATAGGGCGCATCGCAACATTTGGTGGTTTGTATAAATGCAGTGGACATCTCTATGCTGGCCAAAGTCCTTCAGTGTCGGAGACCTTTTCGGTAGCAGTTGATGTGTGTGGCCCGTTGCTACTTCCCCGACGCAATATTTCCCGCTGACAGTGCCTGTCGGTAAAACTCCTCTTCAGAACAAATTAAATATACGGAATGATGCATCCTTTAACTACACTTTTAATTGGAATTCATGGACTGTTCCATTTGACACAATACTGATTGACTCGGACTACCTCCTAAAAGGCGTTCGTAGGTACGCCGGCTCAGCAAAAACGATTTTTTTACTAGTGTTGCACATTCGTCTCAAAGATAAAATATACCGGGGTTCTCATTGGCCCCGACGACTTAGCTTGCGATAGGGGTATCCAGTCACTTCCAACTGGTTCTTGCATTCGTTGCCTCATTATGGAGGATAGTTGTTATTGCGTTGTGTTCTTATTTCTTTGCGTTTTCGCTAATTCCTTCAATCAGTTATTGTTAGTGGACATTACTTTTAGGACTCCGTCATTCTGCTCACCACCTATCCAAAAATATCCGTTTGATAGACTCCAGGCATTGCTAGTAGTTTGAGCACGGGTTTTCCCTGATCTACTTGGTCAGGAAATCCAAGTGACAGAGTGTTACTGTCAACGTCTAGAGCGCCTTGAAAGCTGTGAAGAAGACACTGTAGTACTTAGAAACTGAATAAAGGATCCTAGGTCAAGAATACAATAGGTAAATGTTTGGAATCAACATCTGATACGCACAAATACTGCTTTTGTCGGCTTGGTCAGCGTGACCTCGCTAAATGCTCACATTCGGGATGTCCGGTTGAGTATCAGAGCTGCAAATGACTCACTTGAGTTGATTGAACATCTTGTGTTCAGGAGCTGTTTCGCTATTCATTGAGTGTCTGACTGACAGTTTCGTGATTGATATATCATCCTAAGTTCTGATTACGTTGAAGTGTGTGTGGTTATTCTTTGAGAGGGATGTCAGTCTGTTCTCAGAAAGTGTCAGCCGAATTGGACGGCAGAAAGTTTGAGTCCTCGCGATCGGCGTGCCTGAATTGTAAGAACCGTAATGAAGTGAGTCACTTGTTGTTACGCATTGGAATAAGCGCGATCCAGAACAGTCGCCAGTCGTTTGTTCCACGCAAATCCATGGCCCCCAGAGTGAAACTCATAGAAAAATCTCTTTTGGGTGACAATTTTAGGGTTGGCCGTAAGATCCGGTGGGTCTTTCTACGTAGTCAATCGCCGGCGGGATGTATTTCACCGGTACTGCAGATGTTTCCTTCTCTATGGAGTAACGATTTAACGAAGCCACGTTCATTAGCCACCGATGCAACGATGGTCAACCTAATTTCTTTTGTAGTAGGTAGCGTGAGTTGGCACACGCCACGAACATATGAGCATTACGTTCCAGGAGGCTTAACCATCTCTTGACTCTTCCCCTTAAGATACGGGTTAATTGAATAATATTGAATTCAGTGATGTTGAAGAAGTAAAAATACCCAGAAGTGTTCTGTTAAATTAGCATGTCGTCAGTACAATCCTTGTATAGTGTGATGTTTGCAGTACTATAAAATTGTTTCTGCTTTACATTGGAGGCGGCAGAAAGTAAAAGATACATTAACACACTACTGTTCTGACCAAAGAATTTTAGTGGTCTTGTTGATGCTGTGCAGTTGATGCTGGCACAGTGAGGATCACGCGGTCCCCATCCTGGAAGGCAAGTAGCACCGACAGCACCCAAGCGTTTCATGATCTCCTTCATACTCCTCTGCCAAGTCAAGGGTTGGCCACCTCTCTGTTTACGCCACTCCGAATTGGGCATGGAAAACAGTACTCTCTTCGGCAAACGATGGTTCGGCATACGTAACACATGTCCCAACCAACGCAGCTTCTGGTGCTGGACACATTCTTCAATGGAAGTACCCGTTACACAACCGAAAACACGCTTTCTAACTGCCTCGTTACGGATTCGCCGACACCAACCCACACGAGCTATGGTTCTGAGACAACGATTGTCGAACACATGAAGACGTCTCAGGTCCGCTGCTCGAACAGGCCAAGTCTCACAGCCATACAACAATCACCCTTTTGGCAATATTATTAAAGCTACACAGCCGTTTGAACGCGTCAGCATAGATTTTAAAGGCCCACTTCCATCAACCTCCCACAACAAATACCTTCTAACAATGATCGACGAGTACTCCCGTTTCCCATTCGCCTTCGCGTGTACGGATGTGTCCTCATCCACCGTGATCAAGTGTTTTAATCAGTTGTTCTCTTTGTTCGGAATGCCCTCATACGTCCATTCTGATCGTGGTGGAGCTTTCATGTCAGGTGAAGTACAAACGTTTCTTCACGACAGGGGTGTAGCAACCAGTCGAACTACCCCATACAATCCGCGCGGTAACGGACAAGTCGAACGGCTTAATGGTACTCTTTGGAAGTCTATCACTCTGGCATTGAAGACCCAACAAAGGGACATTACCGAGTGGGAATGTGTGCTGCTAGATGCTTTGCACTCTGTTCACTCCTTATTGTGCACCGCTATTAACTTAACTTCCACCGGAAGTCAACGTACGGCAACTGATGATGATGATGATGATGATGATGATGATGATGATGATGATGCTGTGCAACTGCTTATTGCATATGTTTTGAACCGATAAACGCCGCCAGTTATCACTGTCGTTTTTTTGAGCGGGACCGATCAGTGTTCCTACATTGTAACAGCGTCAAGGGCTGTATAATGACAAAGGTGTGTTGTGAATGACATGGCTGATAGTGGTAACGGCGTCCTGTAGACTGACTGAAACTCTTGGTATTTATTTTCCATAATAGTGGACAATAGGAAAGTTCCCACAGCCAAAATCATACTGATTTTTATTTAAGAGTTTCGTTGTAGTGGTAGTATTTTTCTGTTTGACTTATGACTTCGTCGATGCGTTCGCAAGGTACAGGGTACCGAATCTTTTGCATGAAATAATCGGCTGTTGTTAGTTGTACTCTCCAGTACATTTCTATATTTTTCTATACATATCCACCTACTTTTGTATTCAAAAAACAATTGTTACCCGACGGATCATTTCTCTTCGAGACTGTTTAGTGGAGTGAGAGTTGAAACCAAGATACTAGTCCATATTCTCACCCACATGAGCCTCAGATAGCTCAATTTTTTGAAGCGCGAATTAATCAACCAATGGACTGTTCGATTGGCAGTTCGATTGTTCTGGTCTAGGCTCGGACAACTTTAGGAGCGTCGTAGTTCGCGGTTCTCTTTTTGGTCTTCTTGAGGGACGTGATTGGTGTCAAGCACTTTGGACTTGGATTTTCAGATGCTATCATACAGACAAGGTAAATTTGTGTCCGGGGTTTACAGCCCAGGGTATATATAACCCACAATCTCCGATAGGACATGTGACCAGTTCACATCCTACTTGAGAGCAACATTCATTTGCTCTTACGTGGTGAAGTCAACGTTAAAGTAGCTCAGTCCCCTCCGTAACCTAGAACAGTTTGTTTGTAAGATAACTACGATGGTCCTAAAGTTTCCAAAGCTTTTAGTTATCTGGCAAAAGTTGTCGTGTTGTATCATCCGTCGTTCTTGACACTGTGTGGTATTTAGTTCCTTCCTTGCTTACACTGAGAGTTGATTTAATTTTCTGTTTCCGGTTCCACTGTGGCAGGGAATTTGTAACCAATTATTTTGTCCCAGCTCTATGCAGTTTCCCAGTCTTTCTCTCCTCCGGTAGTCCCTTTATTCTAATGATGCTCGGTTGTTTGATACTGACCATAGCAATTAGCGACGCAGTGGCCGGAAGTCGCCCGTCTGTAATTATCTGAAGTTTGACTAGGATTTCCTTCGTATGTGTGAACTGGATTCGGGTTTCTGTGACAGGCAACGAGTATACAGCTGTCACATTGCACTAAACAGGCGGTTGTCATGATGTTCTAGCTGAATGCATCTGATTTGAACAACCGCATTGTCACATTTTGCCGAATATCTGTGTGTCGTGTGCGACCAAGTTTCTCAAGAAGAAATTGGCTCAAGACAACCTATTTTTTCCTAGTTTCAATGACGTTTTATTCTCAGCACCTAAGGGTATTCGTGTGTATTATCTGTCCAAGTGTCCATTTGGGCGGCAAGGTTGTCTTGCTTTGTTCATCTGTGTAATTCTGTTAGGTTGATGAGGAATCCGAGTGAATTCTAAGTTGTCGAAGGTGATAGATTATTCAATTTATTCTTTCGTATGCCCCGTTCTTTATAGTTTGCCATCCTGATACTTTTGTGCATTTTTTCGTATCGACTTTCATAGTTTAGGTAACCTGATATTGCACTTGGCAATTCTCTCGACAATGTTTTCCGTTTTCCTTGTTTCCTTCATCACTACTCTGGGGACCTGCATTTTGTTTTACATGTAACTCGTTGGCATTTCGATCACTACGTCATTACCTCAAACCGTAGTGTATGTAATAAGAGGAAATTACATGGCTTTTATCTCTCGTATCTTCACTTATTCCTGATCGGATCTTGGATCCACATACTCAGCCGCCGAATCTTCGAATTGGGTTGCGTTCTGAGCCCGGATGAGCTCACGTTCGACTGCATCTTGTATCCGCAAAGACTGTACGTTCTTATGTAGCTGGTGATAGTAAACTTTGACCACGACAGAACGCTAGAAGTGTAGAAGGAAAAACATCCCCCCACAACACCTAAACCAGTTACCTCCTGATTTGTCCTACGACTTGACCGCGAATACCAAGCATGCAGAAAGAAAGTTGGCGCAACGTAATCGGCGGAATCTTCTCCTTTTAGCTTTGCGGCATTTTCTAGAAAGTTGGCATAAAAATTCATGAATAACAGTAAAGCCGTATTTTGTTCTAAGGCTTGTCACCAGAAAAAAATAGTATCGTAGCAAATTCCCCAAAGCAGTTTGCCAACTAGAAATGTGGAGAGCACTCATATTAACTCATCTGAAAGAGGTCATGGAAAAAGTAGAGTAGCCTTTTAAATAAGCTGAATAAGGCTTTCCTCACTTGCATGTTGCTCATCGGATTATTGCTTCTCAAGTGTGTAGTGGGTACAGGGTCACGAAGAAGAGGTAATACTAACAACACTTGACTCATTGTATGTTATGCGCAGATGTAGTGTTCTGAGCTTTCTCGTTTCGTATAAATGCTGGTGTAAATCAGCATTGCTCAGCAGGCTGATTACATTAGGATGACAATGTTAGTCAACATGTGCTGTTCCTTGCTTGGATTTAAACTGGTATTGGTGACACTCCTCTGGTTCACTTGCATTTCACGTTCGACTGTGGGGAATGGCTTTGGGAAAAGACCGAGACGTTTATAGCGAAATGCGCTCATTTGCAAACAAATTTGGTTTTGCTAGAAACTCACCTGGAACCCAGCTGAATCTCTCGTTTGTGATGTTTCCAGGCAACTGAATGTGCTGCACCAGGCCGCCTCATGTTTCCGTCGCTACGATATTCGAGTTATCGCGATACATATATATTCCTAATGCGCTACTCATATGGTTTCTGAAAACCCTTCGACAGCCCACGACCGGTTTTGCCCTTCTTAAGTAGAGCTCTACGTCTATACATGTGTCGCGATATCTCGAATATCGTAGCTACTGAAACATGAGGCGGCCTGGTGCAGCACATTCAATTGCCTGGAAACATCACAAACGGGGGATTCAACTGGGTTTCAGCTGAGTCTCACGAAAAAACAAATTAGTTTGCAAATGAGTGTATATTCGCTAATTTCGTGCAGTTTGGTTTCAAGTAGAACCTAAGGTTGACGGAAACTCGGGGACCGCGCCTACCTGATGAGCCCCAAAACGGACGGAACCGGTCGTGGGCTGTCGAATGGTTTTCAGCACACTTGTGAGTAGCGCATTACCGAGACGTTTTACTTGGTTCACTTACCAAGTTCTTTAAGGATGACAACCATATTTTTGTAGAGTAGAGTTGGGCTGTTTTTTTTCCATTTCAACACCCTTGATTGCTCGGGTTTTTTGTTGGATTGGTATCGATTCATGAGTGTTCCACAGTGGACTGTTGCTATAGGGTTGTCGTTTACATAGTCAACTGCGGTCACCACACTACTCGCTAGCGAATCGCTCTGTCTAGCCTAAAATTGTGGGAACACTCAAGCTGCTATGCTGAACTCACATCACTGAGTATGAAGGACTTAGCACCACCACTAACAAGTGGCATGGAAAAAATACTATGAGCTCAACTGGGATGGTTGGCGTTGCGGCGTGTGCAATAGCGGCGACTGTGTTTAATTCTAGCATGGCTGATAGATGCTGGTTAGCAACTCCAGATAAAATGAAGCTAGATGTTGATCTGTTATATCAAGAATGCAAGAAAGGCTTGGTCCTGTTGGATTCCATGACTGTGCAGGTCTGAGTATGTTTTAGAGATATTCGGCGGCAACAAGGCTTTCGTCATCGTCATGAACATCAGTGTTCACTGATGCTTTGCTGCCGTACGTAGGCATTTATGAACATCGTCGCAGGACAGCAATTCATAAACGATGTAATCCTGCGATTCGATGATCAAAGGTAACCGGAAACCGACAACACAGCCATGGAAATCGAATGGGCTTCAACCACGCATTTTTATTATTAGCACTAATGGACGTTGGTTTGGTATCAGAGTACGAACATCTTCAATGACCTACATGGCCGGCATATTCGATCGGGACAAAACTGGAATTGAAGCTCTCTGTGCTTGATGGACTTTATCAGCGCGGTGTCAAGTAAGCGTGGTAAACTATGTTCACAAGATAGCCGATGCCTCTACCCCGTCCTTGCGATTGATTCATTGGGTTGTGGGCTTGCCGCTAGTCTTAAGCGCAAACAGGATGCTCGTGCGGTTTCAGCCCCTTCGAAGCACACGAGAGATTTGAAATCTACTTGACCCTCCGTTAGGACTTGAAGTGCGACCACCGAGCTGTTGAACATTCTGTTGATCCGAATGTTCTTTTTTCGTCTGCCAAACTATCTAGAAGAATTATATGTTTAGGATAACTTGAGCACTCGATCGTTTTCGGGAACCTGTTTTTTGTTCCGCACTAATTTTCTTAGTATAATCCCTGTGGAACGTGCGGATTCTATGATCACGTATTATTCCAGCAAGATGGAGCAGTTGGACAGTGGGTTGGTGGCTACATGGAGGGCTTTCGCTTTTAGGTGCGCTTTTGTCGTCCACATTTAGTTTGACGGGGCGTACCTGTTGGTGTGAAGGACTTGTACAGAGCAAGTTTGATCATGGCTCAGTAGTTAGAGCGCGAATCTACTGACCGGAGGGTCCGTGCTTCGAATCCAACATCTGCATCTCGACTTTCCTGTCTAGGCCTGGGCAACCTGGCAGTATCTAAGCCCTCGTGCTTCTTTCGGGTGGCATGGCAGCTAGGCACCGAAAGGGTTTTACACCTGAACGATTATCTTTATTGTTTTTGTTCATGGCGCACCTGTTTCTTTCTTTCCGATAGCGTTTTACAATGAGGTATTTCAGGTAATTGGGTGCGTTAAATAGAATACCGCGTGCAAGTCTGAGGGCTACAGGTAAACGGTAGTATTCGGAATGTTTGACGTCTTTACTCAGTGCAGACAGTCCAAGGGAACAGTGTTCCTAGTTTTTGGTGTAGCAACCAGAACCTGTTTTCCAGCAGCCGAAGATGTATGTCTGTTAGTATAAAAGGCAGTCGGGACCAAGTTGTCGACTGCAAGCAGTGCCTATACCTCAATGCTATGCTTATCTGGAGAACCTATGACACGTTCTACACCGAAGTTGGTACAAGCGACACCATATTACCAGGAGATTTCAATGCACTGGTCAGACATCAGGATACCGATAATGTGAGCATTCGCAGTGACTTCCTGTTCGAATTTCCTTACGTACTCACTTGCCATCATTGACACCATACTTTTCTTCAATGGGGAGTAACACTGGTTGTTGATCAGGTGGCTGTTGATGAGTAACACTGTTTAAATACACCCACCCCAGTTTGCCCGATTAAGTTATCGTTAACCAGCGAGATTTCCCGGAGGTGCGCATCACAAAAATGATGTGAGGGACCAGTCGTAGTACAGATTAAATGGTCGTTCGAGGGAAGCTCGACCTCTTGTTTCACAAGCTGCATTGTGCTGACTGGAACACCGAACGTTCGGAACATCCGAAACTCAAGTCGTTGCAGTAACTTTCATTTGGATAGACTTCAAACTATTTAACTCACTGGCTCTGTTTTGATAACTTGATGCAGCTTGTACCGATGACAGCAAAATCACCGTTACGAAGGTCTCATTCAACTAATTATCCATTTTTTTCATACGAGTCACAAACTAGGGTAATTTGGTGACGAGGATGAGAAATATGGATCCGTTTTTTGATTCCCTTGATGGCTTTTTTAGGATCGGGAATAGATTCGTACATCGTCAGCTACAGCGTAGTTTCAATTAAGACCATGTAGCATTTTTCAAACCGGGTATACTAAAGATCACTTCCTCCAGTTTCCCGCAGTTATTGTCCTTTTGTTAACTTTCTGATAACAGGCTCCTCAGGCGTGGATCGATGTTCGTGTACTCCTCACAACAGTTTGGCGCATTGCTGGAACTAACGATAGAGGATCGCTTACATTCGTTGCTTGATTTGGGTGCGTGAATATTCTTTCTTCACTATGCGATTGTTCTAACTTGTTAGTGCGCTGCTAAGATGAACGTCAATGCAAAAGTTGTCCATGACATGTGTGGAGATTTTCTGTCGACGAAAGTTTCCGTCTATTTGGACTGTTTTTCTCACTGCTGGTAGTGAACTCGTGTTGTATCGTCAGTTCCTGACGCGCGCGCCTAAGAAATCTCAGCAAGTAGAAACTTCCAACCCAAACACGCACATCGAATTACTTGAAGGCCACTTACCGCAAGACAGTCATGTACTCAATGGGACCATGTGGCTATCAGTTACCGATGGAGAGCCCCAGTTGAAGCTTTTCGTTCTTTTTGAGGTACGCAGCTTGACTGATTGTGGCATTGTTTGGGCCCGGCTACCATTTCGCGTGTCTGAGCAGAGCAACTCCGTTCAACAAGTTTCAATAGCTGAAGAGTATCAGCTTTCAGAAATGTCTGTCGAAGCGATCTGGCTCGACTACGTGAACACTGGATGTCGTCGAAATTACCAGGTCTTATTGCTGCCAGGAATGACATACAATTAACCGGGAACTATGGTCGCGCGCGCGTATCCCTCTAACATCGGATAATCGAGAGCTTGAAGAATGATGGAGAACGCTGATGAGTTTTGAAGGCCCAGAGGATACAAAATGCTTTCGCTGTAGGCTGAATTAAGTCAGATAGTCCTAGGAAGAAGGAACTCTTGCGGCGGTTACGCTGGTTAGAACAGGTGCTCCACATGCCAGAAGACCGTCTGCCTCGCGGATCTCTTTTCGTCCAGCTCTATGTTGAGCGGAACCTACTGAGAGCTGTATGCCCTGGCAATGATGTATGAAGCAAACTGAGTCGGGTCGACGACTGCCGCCCTTCTGGATGTGAACCCCAGAACTCTAATCAACTGTGGTTAGTGACTTGGCAAAAATGACCCAATTGCGTAGTTAGTGGCGCTCATGCATCAAAGCTGTTGCCTTCAGTGCGTAGCTACCCAGTTCCCAAACTAACTGAATATACCATCGCTTCTAGTGATTGGCTGTTTCTTCCACGCTCTTCCGCTTTCCGGTGGTCGAAATTGTAGCAGCTTGGGTAGATGTGCCCATGATACATGGTTTGCAGCTGATAAATTTATTGATTGATCACGTGGGCAGCC